ATGATTTTTTCGAAATGGTAAACAAGAATCCTAGCATTTTTTTTGTTCAAATATTATATTTAGAACTGCCTCAAAGCCCATGAAGTTTTCCATGTATAACACACTTTTTCGTAGAAATGATATAGAATTCTTGAGAACAATGTTTTTCGATCTTCGCTTTAGAAGATTTGCAGTAATAATACCCAAACATTTATTTACCATTTTTTAGTACTAGCTATTTTTTATTGGTTCCCCCATAACATTTTTTTAGGTTTTTGGGTGACCCATAACAAATTTTTAATACTAAAAAATGGTTGAATAAACGATTGGGTATTGTTATTGGAAGTCTTCTAAAGAGAAGTATAGTTTTCCGACCGAAAATGGAATAATTTTAGACCAATTCTAAAAAAACAAAAAAATTCCCCATATAAAATACACAGAAAGCTTCATGGGCTTTGATGCAGACCTGAATAAAATTTTTTTACAAAAAAATACAGTTATTTTTTTAATTTAGAAAAATTTTAAAATTATTTCCCCCGCATGTATTTTTGCACCACCTTAATGTGCATATAACACCGTGTAAAGAAAAACCGAACAATATTCAAATCAAACGGAAAAATAAATATGTTTACAAGAATAGGGGCTGAGTATAGTAAAACTTCGCTTTTAATTTTTTCTCTCTAACGGCAGAATTTTTTTGAAAGGACTTTGGAATTTAAGGATCCGATTATTTAAAAAAAAAAATTTAATTCATTGAAATTCAGAATTAACAACATGGTTGCGAAATGTGAAATAAAACATTTTCAAAGCTAGTTCGATTGATTACCATATTTTACAACTTTTTTTTATACCCGAGCGCACTTGTGCACAAGGGTATTATAACTTTGTTCACATAACGGTTGTTTGTAACAGGCAAAACGAATCGAGATAGATATAGACAAATGTATACATAAATGATCAGAATGAAAAGAGAAATCGATTAAGCGGTGACTGTCTGTCCGTCCGTCCGTCCGTCCGTCCGTCCGTCCGTCCGTCTGTGCACACGATAACTCGAGTAAAAATTGAGATATCTTAACGAAACTTAGTACGTGAACTTCTTTTGGGCGTGGGACGGATGGTATTGAAAATGAGCGAAATCGGATAATAACCACGCCTACCTCCCATATAACGGTAATTTTAAGAAATACGAAAACTGCGATATTTTAGTAACTACTGAAGATAATTCACTCAAAACTTGATACTTACAATGAGTTTCAGACGGAAAACATGAATATTATACATTTTTGGAAAATGGGCGTAGCCACGCCCACTTATGGTTACATGTGTATATCTTGGTAACCGCTGCACCAATTTCTTCCAAACTTGGCACAGTTGTTGGCCTTAGTACAGCATACTAAATGGCTGAAAATTTAAAAAATCGGACAATAACCACGCCTACCTCTCATATAACGGTAATTTTCAGAAAAACGAAAACTGCAATATTTTAGTAACTACTGAAGATAATTCACTCAAAATTGATATTTGCAATGAGTTTTAGACGAAAAATAAGAATATTACAAAATTTTGGCAAATGGGCGTAGCCACGCCCACTTATGGTTACATGTGTATATCTTGGTAACCGCTACACCAATTTCTTCCAAACTTGGCACAGTTGTTGGTCCTGGTACAGCATACCAACTAAAATCGGACAATAACCACGCCCACATCCCATATAACGGTAATTTCGAGAAATACAAAATCTTCGATAAATCAGTAAATATTGAAGCTAATTTATTCAAAATTGATGATTGCAACAATTCTTTACCAAGAAATACGTTTATGACAAAACTTTGGAAAATGGGCGTAGCACCGCCCACTTGTGATCACATATATGTATCTCGCTAACCGTTCTAGCAATTTGTACCAAGCTCGGTATGGTTATTGTGCTTGCCACATAAAAGCAAACCGTTGAAAATTGTTGAAATCGGACTAAAATTGAGGCCGCTTTTCATATAACGGTAAATTTCAGATATGCTTTAAATTTCAATATTTCAAATTTAAGGACGCTAATTTACTTAAAATGTATACACCCCGGCTTATCATGTAGCGGTAGCTTTCGGAAAGGTGGAAAACTTGCGCCGGGTATTTAATGTTCGGCTCCGCCCGAACTTAGACTTTCTTACTTGTTTTTATTTAATTTGAATATAATTTTTAAAAAGGTAGAAGTAAAACCTGTTTTGCACATTTACAACCAAACCGACGTTAGCACCTAATTAGTATAAATATTAAGATTTTGGTATTGCAATCGATAGTTCGTCGATTGTTCCTTAATGTTCGTCCATTTTAAACGTTTGTTCGTTAGCCAAAGATTTATAATTAATTTTTCAATTTTCACTTTACGTAATTCCTGTATTTGGCACCCGCAACAGACTATTTTGGGTTAATTATTATTGCAATCGATAGTTCGTCGACATTTATAATTAATTGTTTACATTTTACAGTTCCTGCATTTAACACCAAAGTTGTAAGAATTTCATTATTTTCATTTGTTAACTGTAATAAATCGTTTGCTCGTCGTTAGTTCGTCATTTTTTTCATCCCTAAGATCGAGCAAAAGTTGTTAATAAATTCATAATTTTTACTTTAGGTTAAACATTACGTTAAACGTTTAAACAATAATTGGAATAGACGTGAACCGCCCCTTTTCCTGATTTTAATGGCACATTTTTTTTGGGGGGCTAAACGTGGAATTTTCATCATTTTCAAAAGCTTATGTTCCGAAAATATTGAACCGATTTTCAAAATATGGACACAGTCGGAAAAGTGATTTAAGGACCTTTCATTCGAGGAAAAGTAAAAAAAAAAAAACGAATTTATGGCAATTTTTTATAAAAACGTATGTTTTTCGTAAAAAAATACGCAACTAACTATAATAAAAGATATGTTTATAAGAAATAGTACAAAAATAACTTTAATTTCACGTATAATTGTATATAATTAGGTTTAAGTACAACTGCCAACAGTGAAATAAAACAACTGTTGTAATGTTATATTCTATTAATTTATTTCAATTTCTTAATCATAGTCATCATCAACATTTTCGTCTACGCTTTGAAGTTTCAGGGGATTGTAGAGGCTCCCCGCATAATTTAAAAAAGTTTCAATGTTTACGTAAGTTATACGAAGACGACATTGTTCCGATTTTTTATTCCAAATTTTCCCCTGCGGCTTTTTTGCCTTTTTCTTTTATACTTTACTTTATAATACATACCTGTGGCGCTTTTTTTATTTTTTTTTATATAAAAGCATACTTTAATATATACCTAATGGAAATTTGGAATAAAAATCGTGCGATTGTTTATTACAAATTTTCGCCTGTGACGCTTTTTTAAGTTTTTATATAAAAAGATATTTTACTATACAGCTAATGAAATTTTGGAATAAAACATCGCGCGTTTTAGGCGCAGCAACTTTGACAATAGTCATACGATGAATTTTGTCAGCGATGTGGGAATAGGGCGGTCAGATGAGGCCTCTTTGCAACGCAGGTGATGATATTTTTTATTATATTGCGTATTTATGCAGTTATTCAGAACAACAACTACGGACCACTTCTTATTTAAAATTGAAACTGATTTTTCCATAACCAATTTTTTTCCTTAAATGCTTCTTGTATGCCACTATTCAGCATAAGTTATTCCTGTATAAAAAATGCCATTAGAGGGCGCTAATGTGCACAAAAAATTTTATTGGTTTATGAAGCTCGCTCTTGCCTAACAGATGGCGCTATAATAAGAAAAGCGACTCATTTTTAACACCCTGTTTTAACTTCCGTCGAGCTTTCGTTATCTTTAACCTTTCACCGGATCGCCGTTTTTATTTCATCCCATTATGAACATTGGTAGGTTTAAACGATTTCTTTTATAAAATTATATGGAGGGCAACGCTTTACTTTACTTAATAGTAAAGAAATTAACTTAGAAATATGGTAAAACTTGTTAATTGTGTAGCAAAGGACGCTAAAAACAATTTAAGTAAAGTAGCGATAGTTATTTTAACTAGAAATGTAACGGATAGTGATTTGACCGGATACCGAAAATCCGTCAAGCTGCGTGACCGGGCAGGCAAATATCCAGCGGGCGGATAGCAAGTCCATTTCATTGCTCACCAATAGTTGCGTTTTTTTTACTCATTTCCAGTAAAATCCAGTAAAAGTTTTTACGAATTTTCATGTTTTGGCGTTTTCGTACGCAAAAACTTGCAAAGTAGGGGAAATTGAGAGAGCGAAAAATGACAGCTGAAGTTGCAAGTTTTTACTGGATTTTACTGGATAAATTTTTACTTGTAAGAATTTGCCAGTACGAAAAACAGCTGATCGCATGTTGCTGGATGAAATTTAAACTAATAAGGAAACTATTTGTGGCTTTTTATTGTTGAACTTCACAAAATAAACCTATTTAAATACAAAATATATTGTTTTATAAGGAATTTGCGGCGAATAAACAACCAATTTATTAGCTGTTCATGAAACTTGCAAATTATTACTGGAAAAGCGTTCGCGTACTTTTTTGCACATTTTTTCTATGAGAGCGAATTCTTAGAAATAAAGTTACTGGAGAGTTACTGGCAAGTTACTGGATAATTTGTAAAAAAACACAACTAATATAAAATTTAATTTGGGTTTACACCAAAGCTAATGATTTTTACAGTTTCCTTTAAAACAAGCTTTCACTGCTACAATAAAAAAAGCCCGAAGTCAAACCTTTGTCAAAGCTGGCTAATATTTAATTTACCTTCGTTAAACGCAAGCCACACTATAGTAGATTACTGTTTGGATTGTCATTGATTTTAGGTATGCTATCCCAAAATAATTGATATCCAATAAAACTCCTTGGATGCTAAAAATCCAAGAAGTTGAAAAATATACGAAAGAAATAATTTAAACTTTATAAAGCCATAAATAATATAAGGTTTCAAGAAAAATATCTTCATTATAACTGAGTTCACTTATAAAGTCCTGTATAATCAATATCAAATAAAACAAAAGCCTACTGCACTTTATTGTAAAATAATTAAACAGTTTACATATATTTTACCATTTAGCAATGATTATACATTTTGGCATTTAAGTACGTAGGTATGTATGTATGTACTGTGTAAGACCCTTCAACTCTTTCAAACAAGCAAAGCAGCAGCAGCAAAGCAGAACGCAACCACAGACGAAACCATTTGTATAGTAGCAACTCCCTTATTTGAAGAACATCTGTTTATAAGGAAAAGTAGGGATAATTAGAAACATGTATGTAACGTTCGAACGGATGTACATATGTATATTAGACTGCATCACTCTCCATACAAAAAAAAAAAAAAAATAGGTGCTGTGTTTCCATTGGAATTATAAAATCTATTATATTTTAAGGTTTCCACCAAAATATTTCGGAAAAAATATTAAGATTTACGTGAGCTGAACTGATTTGAAATTACCTCTAAAATGAAGTTTTTTTATGAAAAAAATAGTTTCTTAAAGATTTTTTTTGGAGAAAAAAAACCTCAAATAACAAAACGGTTAAGCTTAAAAAAACTGCGTTAAAAAATTTAAAAAAAAATTTTAAAAAATTTTCAACAGAATCGTGCCTATTAATGCGATTTTTGATGTTGTTTTTTATCTTTTTTTCAACATTGCAATGCATTGGTATAAGAAAAACTTTAATAACTGAACCCAAACTATTCCGATTTAGACTTCTGGTATCATGGGAAAGGTATTTTCTCACCTTTTTATTCCTTTTCTAATAAACTCATTCAAAGGATGAAAGAGAAAGGCAGGAAGAACGAATGTCATTCCAAGTTGAATTAAGATATGTTGGTAGTTGAAAAAAAGGGACGTGAATGAGTTTTTCCATTTGCACAGAAATAGTGCGAAAATACCATTCTACTGATGCTCCATAAATTTAAGTTTTCGTTAATCAATCTTTGAAAAAAGTTGGAAAACAGCATCGAAAATCTCATTATTACGTTTACGTTGAAAACATTTTAAAATATTTTTATGAAGATTTTTTATGCTTAATCGGTTTTGTCATCTGAGCGTTTTTTCCAAAAAGTTCTTTTAACTATTTTTATTCATAAAAAACTCCATTTTTGGAGGTATTTTCTAATCGGTCCAGCTCACGTAAATCTTAATATTTTTCCGAAATATTTGTGGACGTCTTAAAATATAAAAACATGTAATGCCGGCGGAAAAACCGCCACTTTTTTTTTGGTGATGCAGTCTAATTTATATATGCACAAACTTTGCTGAAATATAGAAAGACCCTAACTGACATTTTTAATTTTTTTGCGGGAAAAACCAAAAAACCAAAGCACAACCAACTTTTAGAAAATTGTAACAAAATCGTCGCTATGTATAATTTTTAAGGAAGTTGTTTTTTAGTACAAACTACTTACTGCCAGGGTGTTTCTTCATTCTCTCTACTTACTCTGCAGTTTGTGAAATGGTCGTCATACTTTTAGTACTGAAAAGGCCATATTTCGCTTCGGCTATACTTTCATAGTCGGTTAGTATGCTGGAATTCAAAATACGCTCACGTGTCAAAACTACACCGAAGAATGTGCTATAGTCCGATATGTTGGTGTAACCGCAAACAAAGGTATAGTTGTTGTAGTTTGTGTCAAGCACCTTATATGTCGTCAGCGGATATGATTTTCCATACATTGTAAATGAAATATTATAACCAGCGGTGTTGTTTGCGTCCACCGTAACATTAGAATACATGGTTTGGTTAACCCAAGGATAAGTTGCTGTATTTGAATATGTGAATGAGATGTTTACAAAATTATTAGGCAGTGCTGTGATATTTAATTGTGCGCAGAGTAAGCTGTTACTAGGAGCAGGATTGCGTGCCAATTCGTACCAAGTGCCAGAGATCTATAGAAATATAAATGCAAAGACAATGCATGTATGTAGTTAAATAAGATTTTCAAATTAATATTTACAAATTTTATTGAAGGCGTTTTCCATCGTCACGGGTGAGCCATTTGTATAAATTTGCAAACAATTCCTAGACCCATCTAGTAAAACCTCCCAATCTGGATATTTTTAAAATAAGTGGAAAACACGGGTTAAAATTTATATCGGAGAGAAATACATATGTAGATTGGGTATTAATAATAATAGATTGCCGCTTACACATATGTCAGTGTTTGGCCGTACATCTCCTTCTGTAGTTTGGGTACGTATAGCAAAATTTCACGAGGAGTTATTTAGTAGAACATATTAATCTAACTTAATATTTTGAATTAATGTTCTTTGTATAAAAATTTTGTCTGAAAATACCCCTAGTAAAATTTTCCGGTGAATAACTTTCTACTGCATTTTAACCCTATAGCGACCTCCCAAATGCCATTTTTGTTTAGACCTTCCAAAACAAGAGTCAAAACGGCACTTTTATGAGAGAGCTAATGTGTGAAACTGGTCTACAGAGTTATTCTTCGTAAAATTTTACTACATATATGTATGTATCCCAACTACAAAATTTCTCTCCGATATAAGGTTTAACCCTTTTTCCCACTTATTCTAAAAACATTCGGGCAAAAAATTGCAAACTTAATATGACCATAAAAAAGTTTTGACCTGGAATGCAAAACTATTTGGAGTTGCAATCATTCCGCTCCAGACAATGATCCTGAAATTGTTGCACAGTGTATCATTATTGAAATGCTTAATTTTCTTTACTGCAATTTTGATGCTTTGGGACTAAGGAAGATCGAGACGTTTATTCGCCACTTAAAAAAAAAAATATATATAAACAAGTAATTTTTAAGCAAAAAACAAAACCGACTTCAATTCTTATATAAAAATTTAAGATTACCGTTAATTTTTTCACGATCCGGTTATCGGGTCTAAACAAAATTAGTATGGCACCACCCCTGAGGTAAAAGTATATCGACGAACTGATAATCTCCTCCTTTTTGGGAAGTCGGTTAAAAATTATAAACACTTGATTTTGGGAACCTGCTTTATTAAAATTAATTATTTCTAAATAGAAGTTCCTCTTGAATAATACACAGTGTCGGCCACATGAATCGCGGAAAAGCCGCAACTTTTTTTGGGTGGTGCACCACTTCACTCAAGCATACATAGCATCCATGTAGTTCACATACCTGTTCGATATCGAAAGCCATGTTTGATGATTCATTGCAATATTGTGTTGACAATGGCGGAGCAGATGTTGTTGACGAGTCCTGAGCTGTGATCTGGTTAGCTAGCAATCCCACTAGCAGGAGTAGATATAAATACGAGGATGACATTTTTGCAACAACGCTATTTTGCTGTCAAACACTTGACTGCGACACGAAAGTACTGAAATGGTGATTGAGACACAACTGACACAGGCATCAAGTCGAACGGCACATATTTTGTATCTTTTTTCATTCGGAGGGCTTTAAATGTAATTTCGATGATTTATCGAGCAAATTAGCTCATTTGATATCTGCAAGAAGGTTGAAATCAAAGGTGTTTTTGAGACACATACACATATATGAATGTATGCACATTAGACACAGCCAAAAAACAAATTTGATTTAAAGAATATCAGCCCAATTCTGAAAAATCCCGGGGAGTTTGTTCTCCGGGAATTTGATTCTTCCGAGAAAGAAATCCTCCAATAATGAACTCCCAGGGAGTAGCATTTCCCTGAAAATTTGGGAGGGGGAAATTCGAATTTCGAAAAAGCTCTTTGACACTAAAAAATCCTCAGGAAATTTTTATTCATGATTGGATGAAAGGGAAAAGAGAAAGGGAGTTTCTGTTCAGAATCGGCCTGTATGAGTATGAATAAAATTTAAATGGCGTATAATCAATGTTTTCTTACAGTTGCACACGTTGCAAAGGAGAATAAATCATTTTTTAAAGTGTTATTCCGATAGGAAAGAAGGATCGATGCAGCACCTCTGAGAATTATCGTAGAGAAGGGAGATTCATTTTTTCCCAGATTCCGGTCGTAATGCAGGATTTTTTTTTAAATTGTAATGCTCTCACCCCCTAAGATTGTTCTATATCGAGAAAAAGTATACCCCTATTTTTTATTTTGAAATATAAAAATATTTAGAGGTCGCTCAAAGCGCTCAAAGTTGGGAAAAAACTTTTGGTAGAAATGGTATTGAATTCTTAAAAATCAATATAGATATTTTAAAAATTCCGACTTTACTTTTTCAAATGCATTTTTGGACCACCCCGATGCATACACATGCATATAATAGGGTGCGGATTATTTTTGCGTGCTATAAAAAAATGTCGGCCAATTACAGCAATTACCTATTTATTTAGAAAGAAATACCGTTTTTAGCATAACTATACTCCTTTAGTGTATTGTGGTTAACAAACACTTTTTGGATACAATTGTCACAAAAAAATAAAAATAAAAATGTCCCAGTTAGAATTACAGTCAAAATTATTTTGTTTTTGAAGAAACCAAAGTTGTGCCAAATTATTCTGGCGGAAATCATGAAATGCTATTTTTGTTTGAAGCCCTTAAAGTACGTATACGTATTTATGTGCATACATACTTACAAGTAGTTCTGTACATTTGTATTTATAAGTTCAACAGATAACCAGGTAATCAATCAATAGCTATCTACATCCATCTAAGTCGATACCAATGTACATATTTATCTAAATACATATGTACATTAGACTGCTTCACGCTCCATAAAAATATTTATTAGTCATCAGTAAAATTCAGTCAGTGACTTTTATTTATAAAACCTATCAACAAAAATTCGATAATCGTTAAATAAAGAGCGATTTTTATAATAAACTAGCAAATACCCGGTATACTTCACTGCGCCTTAAAAGTATTTTTGAGCTGTTTGATACCCGTATTGTAATATTTCATTTATTTTATCAATTCTATTTAATCAAATTTTTTCAAACAGATGGCAACCCTAATCAAAAATATTTTCCACAGTTAGCTTTCCTAAACCTCTTTAGTTGTATACCCACATTGCAATATTAAATTTATCTTATCAATTAAATTTAGTTAACATTTTCAAACAGGTGGCAACCACCTACAAAAAACATTTTCGGCTTAACTCTTACATGCAGCAGATATAATAAAAATGTAAAAAGGCGACACCTACGTTTGACAAAAAAAAAAAAATTGTTCGAAATTGCCTTGATTATTCAGAAAACGAAAAAAAATCGTGCGATAAATTTAAAAATTTATTAGCAAAAATATTCATAAAAAAGATATGGAAATTATTTGGTTGCTTATCAATGTCAAATCACGACATTTTCTTTAATTGGCCAGCTTCTGGGTTAGCGCTTTATCGACAAACTCCACAAAGTCATTGTAAAGTATTTGTGGTAACTCCAGTGCTGCAAAGTGACCACCATCTTTGTGATATGTACTATGGATGAGATTCTTGTACTTAGTTGAAAGCTCAAGATCGGTTGAATGTCTCAAATCGTGCACAAATCGAGCACAGCCGGTGGGCTGGTTGACATGCACAGCATCCACATTCAAATCCATTTGAGCGAAGCTAAATGCTTCGGAATACAAACGCTGCGATGTGGTTATCGACTTTGTTGTATAGTAGATCATTATGTTATCCAAAAGCTCATCCAGCGTGAAACGTTTAGTCAAACCACCATCTTCAAGTTTTTTGTATTCAGGGTTGGTCCAAGTAGAGAATTTCTCAAGGATGTATGCAGCCAAACCCACAGGATTCTGCAGGAGCGTAGTGCCAATGGTATCTGGCTTAGTTGCTTGAATATGGAAGTAGCCGGACTCTTCCATGATGTACGTAAACTCTTTGCCGAAAGGTTTGAAGAAAACTTTTTGTTCGCTTTTTACAAAGAAAAATGGGAACCATACGCGTAAAAATCTAAAGAAATGTGACATTTGATGATTTGTACCACACATATTCGAATGATATCCCAGTACATTCTGAGGTCTCAGAGTGGCTATATTCGAACCGATTAAGGAACCCCAATCGCCACCTTGTATTAAAAATTTGTCATGTCCCAAACGCAACATCAAATTACGCAAAACCACAGCCATCTGAGCTGGACCGAAGTTAGTCTTTGAGGCGCCCTGTAAATGTGGATGGAATTAGTTAAAATTTTGAATTTCACATGTTATCAATGCTGAGTATAATATGTTTATTACCTGAGACCAACCATAGCCAGGTAAACTAGGTGCTATCACTTCGAAAACGTAGGCGCTCTTGGGGTTCGGTTTCGTAAGCAGCGGAATAATTTTGTAAAATTCGCGTACCGATCCTGGCCAGCCATGGATCAGCAGCAGAGGAATCACTTTCTTGCCTTCGGTGGATTTCGGCTTCACATGGATGTAATGAATACGTAAGCTGTAAATAAAATTAATATTTTTTTTTTATAAATGTCGCATTATTCGGTTAGACTTTGTGTGCGGTGGATTATTCAATTTGCTTTATATTTGCAATTTGTTATTTTTGTAATATCTGCATTCATATTTAATGTTTTTTGTGGAATAAATATAAAGATATGTGGTTTTATACGCGTATGTATGTATGTACAGTGCCGACAAAAAGTATTGGCACAGCGAATTTTTCACAATATGTATATGCACCAATTTCTATTCTAATATTTTTCCGCTAATCTTTTATAAAAACGTGGTTCAGCCTACAACAAAAAACATAAAAATATAATTTCTAAACTTTTTGCAAAACTCGCGAAAATTCAATAAAATTTCATGCAAATCTTCAACTTTTTAATCAGATTTTTTGGAAGTTTCTAGAGCATTTGATTTTGTAGCCCATTTAATTCTAGCAAATGCAAGTTCGGAGTTAGTCGAAAATCGCATTGACTTTTGAGATTTTTTTTATTGAAGGAGTTTTTAATTTTTTCCATATTAAGTATTTTCAAAAAATCTGTGTGTATGGAAGAGACCGCGTGAAAATAATTGCCAAAAATCAACGGTAGTTCCTAGCTACTTAAAACTTGTACTTTATTATTTATTAACAAAATTAATTGGGCTTTAAATCTGCATACCCAAAAAAAATTTAAAAAAATCTAATTAAAAATTTAATAATTGCATGAAAATTTGCTAAATTTTCGCGAGTTTTCCACAAAATTTTAAGAATTATAGTTTTATGATTTTTGTTGTAGAATGAACCATATTTTTATAAAAAATTAGCGGAAAAATATTAGAATAGAAATTGGTGCATATATTGTGAAAAATTTGCTGTGCCAATACTTTTTGACCGGCAGTGTATATATGTATGTAAAGAAAGCGATTGATAAGCAATAGTACATTTATACTGTGTTGGCAACAGTCAAATATCTTTGGTTTCTTGTTTCAGCAGTTCAGTGCAAATAAATATATACATATATATATTTACATATACATATGTACGTTAGTATATGTGACAAATATATGATTTTATTATTTCTAATTGTCTTTTTTTAACATCAAACATTATTACTAGGGTTGCTCAAAAATAGTAATTTGGAAAATATTTAAAAATATTCATCAGCAGAGAACTTTTCTAAATCACTTTTAGTACAAATGAGAAGAAAAAAAACATAATTCACTCAAATCAAAGAAAATCGGCGAGTTTCGTTATAAGTTAAAACAATTCTTACTCCCTTTTGCATTCGTTTTGAACGAATGTGTTGTTTTCTTTATCTATAGTGCAGTTACTTATGAACGTCCTAAAAGGAGTCGCTAATGGGTTAATTTATAAAATATTGCACAAGAAGCTAAAGTTCTGTCATAAATGCTAGCAAAGCGACGTGGAAATTTTCGATAGAAGAAAACATAGGTACCAGCATTGCAGAGCATGGCCCTTTATTCCACTATTATCTAACAGAGGTGCTTATCATAATTATACGACACTCACTTATTGATAAGTTTTGACCATTTTTTTTTTTAGTACTTATCTGATTTTTTTCATTTCATTTCATTCATTTATATTACCTTCTTATAAAAACACAGTTAATTCTTTAGCAAAAAACATGTAAATCCAAGTGGTCTTTATTTGACCAGAGCTGAATGGGCTATAAATCCACACAGCCAATTATTTTCTGAAAGCACTGAATTAAAAGTGTAAAATTTTGTTGAAACTTTTATTTTTTTTGAATTTTTTTTTGTATGAAGTTTGAGACTTGGTTTACTTATATGTATTTTTTTTTTCTTATAAAATGAAATCTATACATATAACCAAATTGTAACAGGCCGATGTCTGTATCCAGATCAACGATTTTTAGAATTTTTTTCTGTCTATCTGTGTGTTTGTATACGCATCACTCGAAACCGAATGCATGAAATTGAATACGGTTTTCACCGTTGTTTTATTAGAGATCTAACTTAAAATATAGCAGGAAAAAATTAGAAAGTTGCTACCTCTTTGGAAATTGCAGTTTAAGTAAATTTTTAAGATAAAATAAATATTGCAGTATGGCTGTCAAAAGAAAGAGGTTTACTAGGGCTTATAGCCGAAAATATTTTTGCGCGGGTTGCCACATGTTTAAAAATTTTAATTTAATTTTGTTGCTAAGATAAATTGAATATTCTTGCAATATAAGTATAAAACTGAAGAGGTATAGGAAAGTTTACTGCCGAAAATGTGTTTGAGGAAGGTTGCCAACTGTTTGAAAATTTTTTTTTGAATTGAAGTGATTGTAATACAAGAAATATTATAATACGCGTATCAAACAACAGAAAAATGCGTTTAAGGCGCAGTGAAGCACGCCGAGTATTTCCTAGGCAAATAATTAAAATCTATAGTTAAAATTTGTCAATATGTGAGTGTCAGATAGTTATGGTAAGACCTATATGCTCAAAATATTTGGCCTTATCGTGCCAATTCAAAACTGAAAGAAAATTTAAAAGATACTCTGGAAGTAAACATATTCTGGTATGACATTTATGAACCTCGTTTTGCTTGCTATAGCCAAAAACTGAAAATTTGGAAAAGTACTTGTGAAATAAATTACCCGTTTTTATTGAAATTAAATTTAAGCAAACATTTTCCTTTGGTGAATGTACTTTCTATTCTATTTGCTTGCTCTCTTGGTATCTTTGAGGGACAAACCTAGAAATTTGACAAGGACGCGTAAGCTTCTCCTCGAAGGCCATTTTTCCTTCGAACCCGTCTCAGAGGAAGCCCACGATTTGAAGACCGGGGATTGTGGTAGCGCCTAGAGTAACCTGCTGGATAAGAATAGCCTCGATGGGCAACATATGTACATACTTTTTCAAGCCTTTTAAGACAGAAGAATCCGACGGCAGCCATGTCGTACTGTTGGGTGGGTAGTTGCGTTCGGGGAGGGTATTTCCCCAAGGCCTGGAAAGTGGGTAGGGTCAAGTTTAGGTAAGCTACATGGCCTCGCTGCTGAGGTGATTTACTTGGTCTATTAATCCAATAAAGTTTTCAGCAGTCCTTATGTGATGGAAGGTACCAGAAAAAATTAACTGCACTAGTCGTAGTACGTAAGAATGCTGCCGAAAGGGTTGAAGTTAGACTTGAAGGAACTTGGTGCTTACCTAACTTAGGATTGGAATACTCTACTATTAATGAAGGCTTACACTTGTGATTGTGCGAATTATCGCGTTGATTCTTTAAACCATTAAAAAATAAAAAAAAACGATTGTATTTATATTTTTGGAGTAAATTTGACTTCTAAATTCTTAATTGCAGTTTCTAACCGAGGGACCTTAATTAGTATCTAAATTAAATTGTGACTGTGAAGCCTATGAGACATGAAGCTGTCCTTTAGAGAGAATCTCTTCTATATGGATAGGGACACAATTTCGATACGATACGATACTATATTGATACTTTTGCCATTCGATACCGATACTTTTTACTCGATAGTTTTAGTACGTTTCTCTTTACATAACCAATACACATACATTTTATATATAAAAATAAGTGCACGTTTTTGGTGTGACCTCATAACTTGAGAACGGCTTCACCGAATTCAACCAAATTTATGTGGCATATTCGACCTATTATACAGGGGGCGTGGCGCCTCTATTTTATATATATATAAATTTGTGAGTTAGCTTATAACTTGAGAACGGCTTCACCGAATTCAACCACATTTATATAGCATATTCGGGCCATCATGCAGATATTTTATGTGAAGTTTGCCCAAATTTGGAAAAGGGGGTGTGGCACCTCTCATACTAACTAAAATTTTTATGTTGTATATCTCTTGAAATATTTGTGGTAGAGTACTGGAAATTGGTATAGAGGTATATCAAATAATTCCATACTCATTGAGAAAAATGGGCGGTATTGGAAAAGAGGGCGTGCCACCTCCCATCTTATATATAAACAAGTAAGTAAGTCTAAGTTCGGGCGGAGCCGAACATTAAATACCCGACGCAAGTATTAAATATATCTTTTTTCACCTTTCCGAAACCTACCGCTAGATGGTAAGCCGGGGTGTAGCAATTTTGAGTAAATTGGCGTCCTTCAATTTCGAAATATTGAAGTTTCAAGCATTTCTGAAATTTACCGTTATATGAAAAGCGGCCGTAATTTTAGTCCGATTTCAATAATTTTCAACGCTTTGCTTTCATGTGGCAAGCACAATAACCACGCCGAGTTTGGTACAAATTGGTAGAACGGTTACCGATATACATATATGTGATCATAAGTGGGCGGTGCCACGCCCATTTTCCAAAATTTTACCATAAACGTATTTCTTGGTAAAGAATTGTTGCAAGCATCAATTTTTAATAAATTAGCTTCAATATTTACTGATTTATCGAGGATTTTGCATTTCTCTAAATTACCGTTATATGGGATGTGGGCGGGGTTATCGTCCGATTTTAAAAATTTTCGGTGATTTTTTATGCTGTACCAAGGCCAACAACTGTGCCAAGTTTGGAAGAAATTCGTACAGCGGTTACCAAGATATACACATGTAACCATAAGTGGGCGTGGCTAGGCCCATTTTCCAAAAAGTTATAATATTCTTATTTTCCGTCTAAAAATTATTGTAAATATAAATTTCGAGTGAATTATCTTCAGTAGTTACTAAAATATCGCAGTTTTCGTATTTCTGGAAATTACCGGTATATGGGAAGGGGGCGTGGTTACAGTCCGATTTCGCCCATTTTCAATACCAACCTACCTTGGATTAAGGGAAACCTACATACCAAATTTCGTTGAGATATCTCAATTTTTGCTCGAGTTGTCGTGTACACGGACGGACGGACGGACAGACGGACAGACGGACGGACAGACAGACATGGCTTAATCGATTTCTCTATTCATTCTGAGCATTTATGTATACATTTGTCTATATCTATCTCGATTCGTTTTGGCTGTTACAAACAACCTTTATGTGAACAAAATTAATATACCCTTGTGCACAAGTGCGCTCGGGTATAAAAATAAGTGCAAGATTTCAACCAAATTTATACGGCATAGTTTCCCGGAACTCGGAAAAGGGGGCATGGCATCACCCATACTAACAAAAATTTTCATCTGGTATATCTCTTGAAGTATTTATGGTAGATTACTGAAAATTGGTATAGAGACATATGAAATAATTCCATACTTATGGAGAAAAAATGTGCGGTATTGGAAAAGGGGCACCTCCCATCTTAAATAAAAAAAGAAGTGCACGAATTCTACCAAATTTAAACGGTATATTCGGACTATCATGCAGATGGGTTATGTGAAGTGTGCCCGAATTCGGTCAAGCGGGATATATGACAGTTTATGTCTGTCACATGAACCACGTATATGGTACAACAGCAGATATATGAAAAATCGAAAACATAGTGAAAAATTGTTGCTATGATGTGCTGTGTTTATTTTTTCTTCGGATAAATTAAGTCAAGTATAAACATGGCTGCAATATAATAAAAAAAAATTCATATAGAAAAATACCAGGATTTATCAATATTTGGTGTAGAGAAGCACACCGGGGTACCGCTAGTACTATATATTGTAAAAAACAGCCAAATTGGCCCATAAATAAATTAGATGACTTTTTTTTGGGCAGACCTTTAATATATATGGCAATATGGATATTTTTTCGGCTTTAAAGAGCACATACATATGTTTACTAGCTTCGGTTGGCATGCGGCGGTGATGTCAATTAACACACTAACCTCTACATAAGCAAACACTCATATTTAGAACCGGTTTCGAATCGTTTTTTGTTTCGTCTAATTATTTTCACAATAGAAAGCGAAGACGTACTAATAATAGTGACTTGCAAAAATATGTATAAATACCTGGTATAATTTATTCTGATAGCTGATTCCTCTAAAAATTAACAAGCTTTTGATTATTTTACATTCTACTGCATCGAAACGTTTTTGTTTTATGTACTCAACAACATTTAAAGTAAACAACATGACAAAGCGAAGATTATTAATACAGTATGTACATACATATGTAAGTATGTATGTTCCCTGCAGGAAAAAATTATCAATTGATAAATAGTAACCAACTTGTAGTTAGCTTTTTTTGTGGGCTTTCGATAAATAGCTCACTTTTAATTAGCTATGAGTAACTAACTTTAACTGAGTTGGAAAATCATGCACGAGTCTTGCAAACGTAATCGAGGGTTCGTTTTTCTTTAAAAAAGTTTCTATTTAAATATCCTCATACAAATTTTATTTTGAATAAACTTCTTTTCTGAACTTCGCAAATACTTTTTCGAATTCAGGACAAACAAAATGAAGAACGAAATTTTATATTATCATTTTGAAGTTGTGTCCAATTGAATTCGAAGAAAGTAAACAAGGGGAAAAATTTTAAAACCATTTTTTTTCGTATTGATATTTTATGTCTAAAAGTAAATAGTTACAAGTCAGTTGACTGTTGCAGATGTAACCACCCTGGACTTTTTCGCGGCCATCGCCGTACAAGTATAATTAGTTTTGCTCAAAGCAAATATACAGATAATAGTGACCTATAGTAACTTCCTAACCAACTTCAAGCTAACTTATATTTAGTTACATTTCCTGCAGGGTAAATTAAAATTGTTATACATATATACATGCATACATATGTATGCCATATAAACAAACTTTACTCACCCCTGAATCTGTGTCTCATAATGCGGGAACTGTTTGAGAAAAGTTTCGCGCTCACTCCACTTGGGCAAATAAGTGTCGCGCCAATATTGGACCACATTTTTCAGGTAGTTGGAATTAAA